CGCCACACTTCTGGTAGAGTGAGCCTTGACCCCAAGAGGCGAAGGACTCATAGGCAATAGAAATGGCATCTACTATACACCAAATGAGGGTCTGTTTTGAAGCTGGAAGACCTCTCTTAGGGGGACCATAGCATACGAGCAGTTGGTCCGCCCTTCTCCACAGGGCAGCTCTGTGGACGTATGAACCGGTTGACAGACAACACTAAATAAGACTCACAAACAGATATCAGACTGACACACACACAGAGCGCTTGCTGAATGACAAAAAGCTGACGCTGGTCTCACCGCACGTGCTTTTATAGCTTCCTGGTCATTACGTCACCCGCCCATGATGTCTCGCCCATCTATTGGTCTGATTACACACGAGGTTCAGAGTGGGTCATGCTGAAGGGCGTTCCTGAAGCGTCCTCCGACGCAGCTCGAGTTCCTGAAGAGGAACATGGCACTTATTTCTGGAGCCATAGGAAAAACACACTCTAATGACAATTCATAACATGATTTTTTTACATTTTACATTTTTTTGTGAATTGGTGACTAAGTTATATGAATTTGTACCATCTTTTTTGTACCATCATTTTTACCATCAGCTTACGCCGCACTATAGGTGGAGGGATGGACCTTCATGCTTACTTTTTTTTTTATAAATCACCTCCTCGTAAAATAGGTTCAGATAGTGTAGTTATGGCATTTACCAGGAAATTATAGTAAAAAAAATTATTAAATAAATTAAAATAAAATGAAAACAGAAAAGGTTTAAAGCTGCATAAAAAAGCCTAAAAGCCTTACAGTATATAAGAGATAAATCTCACAGTCATAGCTGCAGCTGAAATCTGGTATACAGCACAGCATTCATCTTTCCTAGAAAACTCTAATCAGCCTCACACATCATGTGTTAAAGTCCCTCCTACAGCTGTAAATGTGATGGAAAACATCTTTCTGTCACACTGCACACATGCAGAAGCAAACATACTTATACAGCTTTATTTTCTGCTTTATTTATCGCTTGACTCACGTAAGTGATTTCTTCCCCTTCACAAGCACATCTGCGTCATCAGTGAGACGGGGAAACAGAAATATAAAGTGTGACAAAACTCCTTTAAAGAGGAATGGACATTTATATTACCATAACAGATGAAAACCTTGTTGTGTCAAAAGATTACTGTAACTGACATGCTGTATTATGTTTGAAATATAATATATGTTTTGCATGTAAGTCACATCGCAATACTAACGTGATATGATGTGGAAAACATACTTACTGTATGTCATTTTATATGCTGTATCAGTTTAAGAGCCCAGCTGTTCATTTGTGTCCTCTTAGAAGACATTTGTTTGAGAGACCATCCATACCACTGAGGACATCTCATGCTTGTGGTTTTAATGATAACAACTCTTTTTCCTTCTCTTTTTTTTTTAATGTCTGACATTGCAATAGCTTCTTTAAATACATTTTCAGTGATTTCTTCAATGTCCTTTGTAATAGACATCAGGGTGTAGCAGACATATTTCATCTGTTGAGGAGACATTGCAGATCAATAGTATAAGTTTTACATCCATCCATTCTCTAAACTGTTTGTCCTATGAAGGGTTGCATGGATACTGGAGTCTATCCCAGCGTTTTGGCCTTAAAAAACATGTTAATATAAAAAACCAGACAGTGTATACACTGATAATATTAAAACCACTGACAGGTGAAGTGAATAACGGCAAGGCAAAGGCAAGCCAGTCTGGTTCATTCACTCAGAAGAGCTACTGTACTTTAAATTTTTGAAAAACTTAGTGCTGGCAATAATAGAAAAATGTCAGAACACACAGTGCATCGCAGTTTACTGCGTATGGGTCTGTATGGCCACAGACCGGTCAGAGGGCCCATGATGACCCCTGTCCACCACTGGAAGTACCTACAATGAGCAAGTGAGTGACAGAACTGGACCATGAAGCAATGATAGAAGGTTGCCTGGTCACTGATCACTCTTTCTTTTAGATCTGGTGGATGGTCGGGTGCATTGCATTGTTTATCTGGGGAAGAGATGGCAGCAGGATGCACTATGGGACTATAGGATGAAGGCAGACAGACAGAGGCAAGTACACCCCTTCATGACAATGGTATTCTCTAATGGCAGTGGCCTCTTTCAGCAGGATAATGCATTCTGCCACACTGCAAATATTGTTCAGAAATGGTTTGAGGGACATGACGAAGAGTTCAAGGTGTTGCCTTGGCTTCCAAATTCCCCAGATCTCAATCTGATGGAGTATCTATGAGATGTGTTAGACCAAAAAATCCGATCCATGGATGCCCCACCTTTCAGCTTACAGGACTTAAAGGATCTGCTGCTAATATCTTGGTGCTAGATAGTACAGGACGACTTCAGTGATCTTGTGGAGTCCATGCCTCGATGCATCAAAGCTGTATTACACAATAATAGGCAGGTGGTTTTAATATTGTGGCTGGTCAGTGTATAAAATTGATAACACCCAATTTTGTTTTTGCATATTTGCAAAAAATACAACACTGTTATGCTGGGAACACCTCGCAATTTCCAAAGTCATCAGATCAGATCACTGCACGACTGTCTGGGGTACCATTTAGCTGCTGTTGTGTGCACACTACACAACAGATCGACTAGAAGAGGGTCACACATTATACAACTTTTCAATAGGAAGAATCACACGTCTGTCTGGTCTACAAACTACATTTCACAACCTAACATAGACTAGAAATGATACAGGAAATAATGTAAGACTGCATTTCTTAGAAAACAAGAAGCCTGCAAGAAGCTGGTGATATGAGTTGTCTGTACACTGATTTACAGAGAAAAAAAGGGGGGGGGGAAGGAAGCAGAATATGAAGGAGAGAATGGTTGCTTGTTGATGTTCTGTTGCAGGTCTATTATGACTCCTCCCCCTGGACTTTCTCTTGCCCTGTATCTTGCTCTCTCATTTGCTGTAGGTCGACGCCAGTGTCATTTTCAATCAAAACACATTTCACACTGCAGGACTCTGAGTCGCAGACAGGTTCAGATATTTAGAATGAGCACCGATTTGCCTCCAACTTTAGGCATTTGTCTGTGATTTCCAGAAAACAGCAAGTGGAAATCGTGTGTCGCCTTAAACCTAAAAACTGATAAATGCCTTGATTGTCTTGCCTTGTTTTCTTTATAACCGAGTCCTGATGTCTTCTACAGAGGACATACAATATAAAATATAAAAAATAATAATGACAAACAAACAAAAAAACACTTGTTCTGTTGGGTTCCAGAAGGATGTATTTGCTCACTAAATAAAGAACATCTGAAAAGCCCTGAATAAAGATGATTTATTAGAAATTGCTATTGAAACTTTGGATGTCCCTATTTTCCCAGTGTTTTGCCTGGGGTTTGACCGCTTTGTCAGTGGACAACCAAACAAAACCAACATGAGGGCTTGATTTCCTTTACAACCTGCCGTGGTTATCTCACATCTCAGACAAGCAATTAATTCACTGGAAATTTACTACGCTAATACAGAACTCAAAGCTGATGTTCCCTGAGAATCCTGAAAAATAAAAATAAAAACTAATTTCTTCTCATCTGCTTTGGATCTGCTGTCTTGCAGGCAATCCGCTTGAAAAGTCTATAGCTCTTGAATTCAAGTAATAAGTAAGCAAAAAAGGACGCTAACACCTCCAAGGGCATTAGATAAAACAACCCAAGGCGACCTTACAATGATTCTTCTTATACATGACATTATATCTATAACTATTTGCACAAATCCACTATCAAAAAAATGACTTTCTAAATGTTCTTTGAGTCTGGTTATAATATTGTCCTGCACGGTTGGTTTAAAGTGTCGAGTGAGAGCTGTTTGTGCCTCACACCGAGTTTTCCATGACTCAGTCTGGGTGCCAGCCGGGTACAAATGCCAACAGCCGCCATCTGCCATCAGTTACTGCACCTCATGGCTGGAGAATGCAGTGCTGCACTGAAGACACAAAACTTTTTATTTCATTAGATCTGTCAGTGGGTCACAACAATGCATGAAGATTTTGTTTTACAAAAGACTGAGGCTTATTTGCATTTAAAGATCCCATTAAATCAGGGGTGCCCAAACTCGGTCCTGGAGGGCCGGTGTCCTGCAGAGTTTAGCTCCAACTTGCCTCAACACACCTGCCTTTAAGTTTCTAGTATGCCTATAAGAGCTTGATTAGCTGCTTCAGGTGTGTTTAATTGGGGCTGGAGCTAAACTCTTCAGGACACCGGGTCTCCAGGACCGAGTTTGGACACCCCTGCATTAAATGGTCTGACAAAAGCATTTTTCTGTTGTGTATTTCCAAATGCTAAGTCTTTTTGAAGACAATTTGCAGGCCTGTGTGACTCTTACACTTATATTTTTCTGAAAGAGCAACAGTTTACATTTTTTTAGACTTAGCTGTGCTCTGTGTGGGATTAAACATGATTTCTAATGATATCAACCTTACACGAAATAAAAATATATGCGAATATACTTGAAAATAGAATGCAATATATTAAATAAAATGTTTGCATTTATGGGAAACTAGTGTTTAATATACACACGCACCATGTATGGCTATAGATACATATAGACATATATAGCAATGAAGACAAAAAACTTCTCTATATTTTTTTATAAAACAAGAAAAAAAAAGTGTTTACTGAAAACAATTTAGACAATTGGATGTCTTGTTAAAGTCATGGCAACATGGTGAGTATAATATGACTTAAAATATTGTGTGTTATATATATTAAATCTATCTATCTATGTTTTTTTTTCGTAATTGTATTGCACATACATAGTACATATATTCTCACAAACATGTGCGTGTGTGTCTATATAAAACACATTTTATCACATGAACATCTATATATTATACAATTCTTTATTAAATAATATATAGATGTACGTCAGAATGCTGTTCATAGACTTCAGTTCAGCATTCAACACAATCATCCCTCAACAGCTCATTCACAAACTGGTCCAGCTGGGGCTCAACA